GAGGGCAGACAGAGACAGAAAATGACAGGGTGTGGGGGAGAAAGACCAAACAAAGTAATGAGGGCCAGAAAAGAGACAGGAAGAAATAGACACTGAGAGATAAAGTTAGAAGCAGAAGGACCTGCAGCAGAGGCAGCGGACAGTCAGCCGGACAGCAGCCTCCGGCCAGCCTGCCTGATCTGCGGAGCTGGCTGCGGACCCTACCAGCAACTTGGGGCCTGCATCTTGGCTCCCGGTCCCCAGGTCCCCACGCTCCTGGGGAGGGAGTGGCAGCCAGTGCCTGTTCTCTGTCCTGCCATGAACTGTGGGTTTGGCTGGAGCTCAGCTCTGGCTGTGCTGAGGGCCAGCTTGGTCCCCACAGTCCGGCCAGGGCCCTGGGCTGCCTCTTCTGCCTGTCCTCACCGAGAAGTAGAGCAAATGGCTGGGTGGTCATGCCCGCCTTTCTAGGAGCTCAGCTCATTTTTGGAAAAAGAGGGAAAGAAGCCAGTTTCCAAGGGACGGTTAAGAAAAACCTTGACCTCCTCGGTGCGTGGGAGGGGCCCTTGCAGGGCTCCGGTCTCCAGCCTGCCTGACTGTGACAAGCAGGGCCCCAGACTTCCAGAGAGACAAACGCAGCCCCGAGCTGCGCCCTGAGACCTGTCTGCCCAGACTGGGGCTTCTTTGGCCACTTGGCCTCCTCTGTGAGGAAGGAGTTCAGGCTGGGCCATGTGTCTCTGCCCAGTGCTGGGGCTGGGGTGCTGAGGGGGGCAGATGACCTGACAGATGCCCACAAGGGGGCGCCAGTATCTGCAGAACGCTTGCAAGACCCTGGGAGAGACCTGTGGGCTCCTCACAGTGGGCAGCTGCCTGTGTGGGAGCAACAGGGTGGGGCCAGGGGTGCTATTGCCCCCTGGTTCCAGATGGGAACTGCAATCCTGGGCACATCTACTATTAGAGCAGTCGGCTTGCCTGCCTTTCTATGGGAAATTATAAGGAAAGTGGCAGGTATTTCAGTGATCTCAATCTTGGTTTTGAAAGTGTAATTCAAGTGGTCACAAAGATGGGTGAGGCCAGGATTATCCCTGAGCGCTCTCCTTCCAACTCTGGGACAGCTAAGACCTCCAGAACCCTGTAGCCTCTTTGCAGCTTTGGCCATCACCTGAGCTTTGGCTTGCAGGGCCTGTCTAAGCCCAAGTCTCCTTCCGTCCAGTGCTGGCTAGCTAGGCTGGCCATGGGTGGGGCCCTAGGGTGGCCCCAGATTGGTGGAAGCCCAGGCAGGAGCTTGTATCTCACTGTGGGTTGAAGAAGCTGACCTGAGGCCTAGGAATCTGGTAACTGACTTCTGGATCCAAATGTATATCTGACTCGGTCTCACAGATATAATTAAATCCTGGGAGGTAGAGTGGGGAGCCTCAATTCAATTCTTGGTGAAGGAGGAATTGGTGCCAGCTTGCTAGGATCTAGAAACCTACTGCAGAACTTGGGGGTAGTTCCAGGAGGCTTCCCCCCGCCGAGATGCCCTTTCCAAAGTAAAGAGACTTGATGGCACTCACACCTGTTGGGGATCCTTCTTGCTCCCTGATCCCCTCCTCTACATACCTGCCATTCCTAGTTTATACTGTGGGCACCGCTCTCCTGAAGTTTCCCTACCTCCTTGCAAGTCCCTTGGTTCCTAGCCTTTCCTGGAGGGCCTCAGAAGAACAGCCCTAAGGGCTGCCACACTTGTTGGTCCCATCTATACCTCCACCCCAGGACCACAGGAGCCTGTGTCTTTCACACCACCCCTCTCCTCTGGATGTGCAGGATATGAATTTTCAGGAGTCTGTCAGGCTCCAGCGGTATAAATAGTTTATGTCATATCCAACTATTACACATGATTTTAATCCCACTTGTGATGTCGGCTGCATAACTTGCAGGAGGGCAGCTTTGATGTAGCTGGTGGAACTGAGATCATATTGAACAGATGTTACAGCTGAGAGTCTGTTAGTGTTTCCATCAGCAACCTGCATGCATGTGTGCGTGTGTGTGTTTAGAGGAAGTATTACATTGAGAGGGGGTGGGAAAAGAGAGAAACTCCATGACTCAGTGATTTTATGGCACATTCATTTGAAATTTGGCAGCTGGATGTGGAGTCCAGATGTAGCGAGACTTTGGGGGCGTTAAGTGTTCTCTCCCATTACTCAATCTGGGGGCTTTGTCTTCCGTTGGGTAACATCGGAAGACCAAGGGAAACAAACAACAAATGTGCTTTTGCTGAGCTGGGATGCTTCTTGGTTGACTGAGAAAATGAGCAGGTTTGCAGAGGCAGCTCTGATACAGCCCGTGGTGTCCACAGTAAACAGTTGGATGCTTACTGAACGAACAAATGAATAAATGGAGGAGGAAGGCGGGGAAGGCAGCGGACAGAGCCTGTCCTTCTGCTTGGCAGGCACAGGCCAACACCTTCAGTTTCAGGGACAGGAGGATGGAAACCGTAACCTCCTTGGGGGCCCAGGAAAGGGGCTTTGGGAAGGGCAGCCACACCCTCAGGATCGGCACCGTAGGGACAGCTAGCCATGTGCTCGCCATGCCGAGACACCCCGGGCCACTTGATTTAATCCTCAGGGCCACTGTATGAACAAGCATGACCCAAGCATGGATGGACAGATGAGGGGCCCAGGCACAGAGTTTAACGTGGCCAATGTCACCCGGTAAGTGGCAGGGCCAGAAAAACCATGGAGAATGCTGTGACTTTCATTTTGACTCCATGTTGCCATGGACAAGGCCCATCTGGGAAGCCTGGCATGTGGGCTCTCAGCCCCCTTTGGGCCTCATTCCAGATGCCTCCCCCCCTCACACGGCTGAGACGCTCTTGGAGAGAAAGGCAAGGAGACCTGGCAAAGCGGGCATCCTCCTCCTGGGCAGACTCATCTCTGCACCCCGGTAAATTGATCACCTCATTAGTGTGCATTTAGAGGATGGTCTTTTAATAGTGGGGGGTTGTTATGGTGATGACTTTCTTGTTGACAAGTGAGGCTCTCCTGGTGTGATGGGTAATGACCTCGAGCAGAACCACAGCTTCATCGGGGCTTCTCTTTGTCAGGGCCCACCCAGCCTGCTGCTGTGGGAAGCTGTCTAGGTGGCTACTTTTGTGGGCTGTCAAGGGCCTCCTGGCCAGGCTGGGGTTGGTGGGGAAGGAGAGAGGGCAGAGGCCACACCTGGCAGCCTGGAAGTGGGAGGCTGGGCTGGCTGTGTGTCGCATCCTCATAGCTCCCAGGTTTGGCCTGTGTTGGGGGCAGCTTTTAGGGTGAAAGGGGTTCTTGGGTGTCACTCAGTGTGGTCAGGCGAGGCCCTGGATTCCCTCCTGGGGAAGGGAGACACTTCACCGTGCATGGACGTCGGACTGTGGTAGGCGGTGGACATTGGACTAGTGGGTCCCCTCAGCACCTGGCTTCCTCTCTGAGACCTGCTGCTGTAAGCCATGGCTGCCATACTGAAGAAGCAGGGCGTGTGGAGAAGCGGGGGGGGGGGGTCTGGATGAGGAGGGAGGAGGCATGGCCCTCTCAGCGCCATCCGGGTTTCTAGACTTCAGACCCCTCCCTCCTTTCACCTTGCTCTGGGCAGGGCTGGAGTCCTGCTGTTCTTGGCTTTCATGGCATGAGGAATGCAAGAACCCTTCTGCTGGGTGTGGGGTGGAGAGAGGAGGGTTGTTAGTGGCTGGTGCAGATGGTGAAGTGTTTTCCAAGAACTCAAGGGTTGGATCTGGGAGTGTACAGCGAGTTCATCTGAGGTTACAACCACTTCTGCCTTCTGGAATCTAAATGGTGTCGGCCAGGATTGCAGTGGGTACGTCTCACAGACCCCCAGACAGGCTCTGGAAGCCCTAGGACACAGCCCCTCGCGATTCCGGGTCCCCAGAGAGCTGGATGGACTCAGAATCCAGACACCTACATGAGCCAGGACTGCTGGGGTGTGATTTTCAATGGACTCGATTTAAAATGAATAAAACGCTACGAAGGATATGAACATCATTCTGTAGTGCTGGCCTTCTCATTCAGGGCCCAGGACCCCTATAAAGCGGTGGCTACTCCTCTACTCTAGAGAGCTGAATGCCCACCAGCTCCAAGCATCTCGACTCTGATTTCCTCGCCCCAGCATGGCGTGGGGCCGCCTGGCTAGGCCATCAAGGGCTCACCAAGATATTTACTGATGTGGAGTTTGACCTTACACAGATGTGCAAATGTGACTTAAATATATTGTGGGCAGAGGATCTTTAACTATGGTGTTCTTACTTCATGTAACCATAGAAGGACAAGATGGGGCTTTCACTGATGGCACAATGGGTTAAAGTGCAGCACTGCGAAGTTAGCCACAGCTGCTTTGGCAGGAGTTTGATTCCCTGCCAGGGAGTGACCCACATGGCCCAGCAGACCTCTCCTGTTTCATCTGCTGCTCCCCTCAGCAGTGTGCTTCGTTGATCTGCCTGTTCTGCTCCCAGTTCTGTCTCTGGTGAAGCCTCTCACCTTCCACATCTCTGGCCTGTACCCCCAGCTCTATATGAATAAATAAATAAATCTTTAAAAAAATAAATAAAAAAAGAACCCCCTAAGTACAAATACAGCCAGTCTCTGGAGCCGTCCGCCCTATTTTCTTCAAATTGGCCACAGGGAGGGCCCGCCAGGCTGGGAGGGGTCTGCTGAGCTGGCTGTCCAGGTCTGGCCCTCCTCTGTGCTCAGGGTCCGCGGCGTCAGTGGCTCCCACCCTGGCTCGGTGGGTCGGTACTCACGCTGGATGTCAATGGTGACCGAGGTCTCCTTGCCCCCGGGGATGGCTTTGTTGGTGGCTCGGCACACGATGCTCTGCCCATTCTCCACGTCCCCAGGGGAGATGAAGAGGGTGCTCACAATGCTCTCGCGTTTGCCATCCCGAAGCAGGGTCTGGGGAGAGGACGAGAAGGCCACATGTCATTCAGCTATGGGGGTGCTGAAAGGCGTGTCTCAGCCACAGAGAGGCGAGGGAGAGCTGTACATGGAGGCAGGATGGCTCAGGACACCCAGAGCTACGCCACTGAGAGCTAAGGGGCATCCTGGCTGGACTGAGCTATGGAAGGGCAAAGGAACAGGAGATTTTCCATCCTGTGTGAAAATCAGCCTACATGTGTCAAATCACCAAAGAAAACCAGTCTAGGCCCAATGAAAACCAGGCTGCGGGTGCTATGTAGAATTGAACTGGCAGCTGTTCTGTCTCTGGTGTCTAGGGAGGTGTCTGGGCCTGCAGGAAGCCCTGAGCTGGGTGCAACAGGTATGTGCTATACAAAGAGGTGCAGTTAGGGCACTGTGGGGGTGGGCAGGAGGGCCGCGCTACAGTGGGAACCTGGCAGAATTAGTGCAAACCAACTGTTTTAATGCCTTCTCCATATACACCTTGTGACTTTTCAAATCATTTCACTTCCTGACGTCTTGAGCACTGATCAAGTCATAGGCAGGAAATGTTACAGAGCAGGGAGACAAGGGCACCCCTGAACCCCCAAACCTGCCTGCTTTAAATAGGTTCTGCCATTCGCCGCATCAAGATAAGACATAAGAGCTTTAATGGAAAGGAAATTTAGTATACTGAGTATACAATACAGAAGACAAAGAATACAACTTCTAAATCAAACACCTGAAGTTACCCATCCCCTTGTGGGTGAAAGTCCACCCAAAAGGGATTGGCCCAAAGCAAGGCCTGAAAGCCCACCATGAGTTTAAAGCCTGTTCTGTCCGGGACCCATAGAAAAGAATCAGACATGGCCAGACAAGTGTGGGAGGAAAAGAGCAAAATCAAATCAGATGAACGCTGCCATAGTGAACCTCCCTACAGGTCTCTCACCCATGTCTGTTTCAACCAGCACAGGGCCAAGAAACAAGCAGTTTCTTCACATGTCTCTCTCTGCTCCAAGTGGCGTCCTCAGATCTCCTGGCTCTCCATCCTGCAGACTCCTCTTCTCTCCTCAGCTCCACCCTCCTTCTGGGTGGGGCAGGGAACCTGGAACCTCCCCTTTTCCTGGGGACCACCCTGTTACAGAAAGATGCCCTCATCTCCCATTTCACAGGGGAGATCCAGAGAGACTCTGAACTTGACCAAACTTGCACTGCACATTGGGGTATCATAAAGAGTGGGTTGAACAGTAGCCCCCCTCAAAGTTCACATCCACTCGGAACCTCAGAATGTGATCTTATTTGGAAATAGGGTCTTCACAGGGCTAGCTAAGTAATTAGTATAGCTGACCTTGAACTAGTACAACTGACCTCGAATTGTATGCACATGGGTTGAACTGCAAGGTTTCTTACACACACATATATATATATATATGTGGACCCCTCCACCCCACATAAACGCAATGGGGCCTCCAAATCTGTGGGTTCCACACTCACATATTCAGCCAAATCTATGGCTACAGAACCCACAGATGTGGAGGGCTGACTAAAGAGAGCACCTGTGGCATCTGGGACCTGGTTTTCTGAAGTCAGTCTGCCTTAGATACTGAGGATGACGATAAGTATAACGGAGGATCTCAAGACGAAATCCTCCTGGCTTTAGAGCGGGCCCTAAATCCAGTGGCTGGTGCCCTATGAGAAGGGGTGAAGACACAGGCACTGGAAGGAGCCCATACGGAGGAGGAGGCAGAGACGGCTGTGAGGTTCCCGCCAGGAGACCAGGAGCAGGCGAGCGCTGTGGAGCCAAGGGAGACGCTTCCCTACAGTCTTTGCAGGGAAGTGGTTCGGGTACCGCCTTCATTTCTGAATTTGGCCTCCACAAAGGTGAGACAATAAAGACCTGTTGTTTGGTAACAGGGTGGTCCCCAGGAAAAGGGGAGGTTCCAGGTTCCCTGCCCCACCCAGAAGGAGGGTGGAGCTGAGCAGGGAAGAGAGGAATCTGGAGAGGAGACTGAGGAGGAAGGAGGCAGGATGGAGAGTCAGAAGGAGACCTGAGGGAGGCACAGGGAGCAGCGGCATGTGAAGAAGCAGCAATTGTATCTTTGTCCTGGGCTGGTTGAAAGAGATGTGGGTGAGAGACCCGTGGGCAGGTTGACGATGGCAGCGTTTATCTTGATTTTGATTTTGCTCTTTTCCTCCCAGACCTGATTTTGCTCTTTTCACTCCCAGGGTAGTGTCTGACCCTTTTCTATGGGTCTCCTCCAGAAGGTGTTTTAGGCTTGTGGCAGCTTTCAGGCCTTGCTTTGGACCAATCCCTTTTGGGTAGACTTTTGCCCACGAGGGGATGGGTAACTTTGGGTGTTTGATTCTTTGTCTTCTGTATAGTATACTCACTGTATTAAAGTTCTTTTCCATTAAAGATCTTATATATTTTATCTTGATGTGGTGGATGGCAGAACCTATTTAGATTGGACAGGTTTGGGGGTTCAAGGGTGCCCCTCTCCCTGCCCTGTAACAATTTTAAGCACCAGAGGTGGTACTTCATTATTGAGACATGAGGAAAATCATGTCTCCTGTTCCTTTGTTTCCCTGGGACTATGAGGTCAGTCGCTAGTCCCCACCCCCCTCACCATCATTGCTGCTACCAGCTCCCCTCCCACCACCCCTTTCAGCTACTGGTACCCAGTACACTGAGTTCACTGGTGACCCATGAAAAGGTAGAAGTAAAACCCAAGGTGGCCATGAAAGTCTTTTCCTGTTTCTGCTTATCTTGCACGAACAGCTTTCAAGAATGAGACAATGGGACAGAAAAACCCGTATCTATTTTAAATGACAAAAAAAAACCCAAAAAAACAAAGCCAGATTTTTCATAAGTTGACAAGTTGCATTTCATAGTGTAGGGCCAGAAAAGCATTTGCTGTCTTTGAGGTGACCTCTCACTGCCAGAATGAAAACGGCCACAGGAAAAAGGAACTGAGAAGCTTGGCTCATGGTTAAACGGACAACCTTCAGAAGTAAAGGGGTGCTCAGTTTGGGCTCAAATTTGAGTTATAGCATGAGTTAGCAGAAAACAACCCAGCAGACTCTACCAACTTGCCTTTTTTTTTTTTTTTAAATCTTCTTTGTTTCTCAACCCTGTAAGTATGGCCCAAATTTCCTAGGGAGCCTGATCTGTGAGCCTTGTCTTCAGTGTTTTGCCAGAAGAACTTGTATTAAGCTATTTTGTGTCTCCAAAACTTCTGGAATGGTTATTAGCTTCTGTGCCATCAGGCAGTGGACACTCATTTGGCAGAAGCTTGTGGTGGGCAGGGGGCCCCTTCCAGGTGGGATTAGATTTGTTCTGTGCTCAGCACTTCTGATTCAAGACAGGGACTCAATATTCAGCAGAGAATGGGGTGTTGGGCATAGTCTTAGATTGTGAGGATTGGAATCGGGGATTAAAGAGACTCAACTTTCTCCAAACCGCCCTTAAAAAAATGATAGTATTTCTAGTTCTCATCATACCCTCAAAGGAAGAGAGTGATATCTTTATTTAGGCAGAAGACAAAGTGCATCAGGAACTTGCTGGCAGGCTGGGACTTTGACTTGAGAATGGTGTCTCCTGAACCCATGATGCTTCCACTGTGTTCCTGAGAGCTGAGGTAGGTGAGGGCAGCCTCCACGTAGAGACTGGAATAGTTAGAGCTATTAAATAGCCTCCAGGCTTACTGAGCTGGTTAGAGCAACATGTAGCCTTCTGGAACCTTCTCTAGGGCGTATGGTTGGGTCCTTCTCCCCTTCGGTAAAGCTTGTGACCTCCAGCTCTAGGAGAACATGGTTGAAGCATCTCACTCAGGTTCAAAATTCAACATCACTCCATGTTCCTCAGGCAAGTTTGCCAGTCTTGACTAGATAGTTGATGAGGTTGTTATGGGAACCATGCCACAAGACTGACAACTCAGACTGTGAATGCAGAAGCAGAGCCAGGACATTCTGTGTCAAAGGCCACTGCCCGGGACCAGACATCCCAGCAGATAACTGGGGCACACTGGGGCCCCAAGTAAGAAGTCCCGCAGAAACAGAATGTAAAGGGAGCCTCAAATCCTTCTTCCAGAGCAGATTTTATTTCCCATCTCACCCCCGACTCCCTTGCATAGTATTTCAATAAATTCTCCGTTTCTGTTCTCTACTCTGACTGTGGTGAACTCTTTATTTTTTATTATATGTGCGTGTGTGTATATATGTATATATATGTATGTGTGTGTATATATATATACACACATGTATATATGCGTATATATACACACACATACACATACATATATATATACTTACATTATTCTTCATTTTGTACATTTTATCATCTCAGTTGTAACCCCCGTGGACTTCCCACCACCACTATCCCCATGTGTCATCACCATAGTCCCGTGAGCTCAGCCCACCCGTTTTGGCCTTATCCCCTCTCCTACCCCAGAGAATGTCTTTGGTTTAGAATTGTTGATGTTTTTCTTACTTTATTACAATATCTCTCTCTCTCTCTCTCTCTATCTATCTGTCTGTCTATTTTTTTCCTCCCTGACCCCTTACACTCCTGCTATGAATGAAACCACTTTCTGGTAAACCCTTTCAAGCCTTCGCCTCTGGCTTACCCCGAGGTTACACCGCCACAAACATGACCTGCATGTCCAGCTAGAACAGTGCTTCTTGCTTCAGACAAAGCCGGACACAGCTGCAGGGGAGATCCATGAGGTGTGGCCATGGCCCCCACTGTTTTTCCCAATGCTCCAAAACTGCCTGGACCTAGCAGGTGCCCGGGGCATGAGACCTCACTGATAAGGTGGTGGCCCTATCCCTGGGCAGCGGGGACCTCAGAGAGGGGTAGAGGGCAGTGCTGCAGCTAGTCCCAGCTGGTGTGGGCTAAGGGTCTTAGATGAGCCTCAGAGCCAGGTGCTATTTTGGAAGCCTGCACAAGGGGGTGGGGGTGGGGGAGTTGTGGTTTTGTAACAGGGGGGTCCCCAGAGAAGGGGAGGCTCCAGGTCCCT